GAACGTGATCGAGGCGAGCATCAGGCGTAGCGAACGTGCCAATGGGGGCAGCTACGTGCCTGTGCACTTTCGATCGTTGACATCGTAAGCATTGCTTCAGCCACATACGGACATCTTTATTCATGGACGGCCAGACGTACCGTGCAGCGATGAGGTGTAATGTGGCTGCGATACCTGGATGAGACAATCTGTAGTGGCATTGGACCATAACCACACAATCCTCAAAGCTGAATACGAGACAACTCGGAAAATAGATATTCAATATTTAACATGGAGAATTACCTAAGGATGGAGAGGGCGGGGAGAATGTATTGAATGAATTGGAGTTGATCGGATGGCATGGCTCGACCATGCAGACGTGGTCCATCTGAATGTTACCTTATATCTTCTATTCATATTAAATATATTGTTCCTTCTCTAGCCTAACCTTGTTCTACATCATGTATTGGTAATTGATACGATACAGTGAGTTGGTGTAGCCGATGGTGTGACGTCCACGTAAGATCTTATAGATTAGGCAGTTATATCATGACAAATCTACAAATTTAGGATTAGGTCTATTATTAGAGCAGTACTAATATCATAGTAGACCATAGTTCTACAAATCCACGCAAAGCATCGAAGACGAGACGACGGTAAGCAGAGGGTATGATGGGTCAGGGGAAACCAGTAGAAGCATCACGCGGGATATTACCTGAGCTGGTAACAAGGAGTATTTCAAGGCACTGAAGGGATGTATAATGTTGAGCTCCCGCGCAGGAGGGATCGCTTGCTTGAGCGGCAGCCATAGCAGGAAGATCAAGCACCGGTAAAGTAATTGCATTCACTCGGATACGTGACAGAGCACCAGCAACATAGTTCTACCCGCCTTTAATGTGACGAAGGTCTGTCGTGAACTGAAAGATATAGTCCAAAGGTCTGCATTCTCGTGGTTAGTAGCCATCAGACTTGGTATGCAGAGCATAGGTTAAAGGCTTATGGTCGGTGAATAAAATGAAATGGCGACCTTCTACTGCGTGCCGGAAATGCTTGATGGCACAGTAGGCTGCTAGTAGTTCTTGACCAAAAGCGCTATATCTCGTCCTCATGGGAGTGAGGCGTCGTGAGAAAAATTAGAGATGTTGCCAACTTCTCGAAACGTTCTGTCGCATGACGGCTCCCATAGCAAAATCCGATGCACCAACCTCTATACTAAGCGTGGCTGATGGGTCGGGACGAGCGAGGAGTGTAACTTGAGCCAGAGCCATTTCGATCCCTGAAAATGCCGCACGCGCGGCATCGCCCAATTCTAATTTGCGTGGATTACCGCGAAGTAAGTCGGCTGATGGTCGCAATCGTTCTGCTGTGTGTCGGATGAAACGTCGGTAGAAGTTAAACAAACCAAAAAATGCCTTCAGTTCCTTGAATGAGAACGGTACGGTGTACTCCATTATTACACGTACTTTGTCCTCACAAGGTAAAATACCCTCTTGCTTAATAGTGTGACCTAAGAACATTATTTCTGATTTGCCCAGTTCACACTTGTCCGGGTTGACTACTATTCCATTGTCCAAAAGACGTTGGAATAAGAGTGTAAGATGTTGATAATGTTCATCTACGTTTGATGATGCGATTAGCAGATCATCAATATAGACGTGAACAAAATCTAAGTCTCGTACTATGTCATCGATAAACCTTTGGAAAGTTTGAGCAGCATTCCGTAATCCAAGTGGCATTCGTAAGAACTCAAACAGACCGGAAGGAGACGTGATAGTAGTTTTCTCGATGTCTTCAAAAGCGACTGGGATCTGCTGACATGCTCGTACCAGATCGATTTCAGAAAAAGTAGTCGTGCCCTTGAGTGATGCCGTGATGTCGTTTATGTGGGGGATAGGGCAGCTATCAAAATGTGTAGCTACATTTAATGCTTAGTAGTCGCCGCATGGTCTCCAACTAACCCCATCCTTTTTGCGAAACATGTGAAGAGGTGAGGCTCAAGGGCCGTAAGAAGGACGAGTAATACCAGTAGCTATTAAACTGTCAAGCTCACGTTTAGCGAAAGCCAATTTATCCGGTGCCAGTCGGCGAGGTCTTGCCGTGACTGGGGGTCCGCGGGTGACTGTGTGGTGTACCACACGATCGGTCACCGATGGGAGCTCCTCAAGAGGTTAAGTTAGTTGGGGAATTTCTGAAATAAAGCGTGGAATACATCGTCACGCGAGTGAAAAATGCCTGTGATTCGGTACGCATTTGTCTGAGCTGTAAAGCCCATGAATTTACTGTTTGACAAAGTATAGATTAGCTGCAGCCTAAGTGAATTGATTTGCAAGTCATAGTGCTGTAGGAAATCAATACCGAGTATGGTTGTGGGAACATCGGCAATGATGAACGTCAACAGATAATATCGTCGGTCTCACAGGTTGTCCGTAAGCTGTCGTGTACCATAGGTAGGAATGGCTGAGCCATTCGCAGCGAGTAGTCGAAGCATCTTAGCTTGTGACTCACTGTTAACAATAGGTACGACAGAAATCTGAGCATCTGTATCCACTAGGTACCTAGCATTAGTATGATAATCATGCGTATGAAATAAACGGCCAACCTGGGATAAGGGGCCGGCTAGTGCGGCCACATTTACTCGTCTGCTCGGAAGTTTCCCACCTTGTGTAAGCAGGGAGCTCGACAACGGTGGGCACCGGGCCTGAAAGCGTGGTAGAACCAGCACCAATCCACACTCGCTTCTGAAGCCTCCTTTTGTCGTGGCTAGAGAAAGGAAAAACAAGTCAAAAGACTTAAAGTAGTTTGTGGCAAACATGATAAATTATTATTGTCGAATAGTCAAGGTATAGTTACACAACGTTAAAGAGAGTCAGTGTGGTTGAAGGTACCTGATGTTGTATTTGGTGTATTCGTTTATTATTCACGCCTCACATTACTCTCACCGCAAACTTAACGTTGCTTGTCTGAGGAACTCAATCACTTGTCAACCCCGTCAAGTCTAATATGACTTAAAAGAGCTTTGTAAAGTTATATTTCTCTCTATTAATGTCACTTCGGGTCGCTTTACATTCAACCCACCTGTAAATAACACTGTTAAAAACAACAATTAACTTCATTATTACTCATCATCTCCCGATCAGTTACTGACGCCTACTTTCCATTTGCCATACAACTTGACAATTTCTGGTGGACTATTATGGATCGCTTGGCGATCTTCGGTGCATGAAGACCCTCTATATGTTTGTTACCTATTCAAACGGCCGTTGGGTCTAGTGGGATAGTATTGTAAAAGAAGGAAATATTATTCGGCCCTAGCCAAATCGAATATCGAACGGTTTACCGATCTTCTTCAAAGTAGAGGATAACCGATGTGCATTGGTCAAGTGGACGTCATGGACTGGCTCACACAGCAGTGGTCGTACTCTATTTCTTTGTATCTAATCTTATTAATACATTTCCCTAATATCGTTATGTAACTGGATACAACTTAAGAATAATCCGCTATAGGTAGTAACCGTAGGGTGTGATTTCTATATAAGCTAGGAGCTCACACCATTCTCGTCCAACTGGAGCAGGCCTGTAGAAACATGGACTACTATGGTACCAGTGCATTTATTTCCACTACTATGATAATAAACCTAATGTTAGATTTGTTATGATGTGAAAGTCACGTCATTGTCTATTCTGACTCATCGTACCGTAACCATTAACAATGTGATGCTTAGCACTTCCGAATAGCACATTTGGACTGGGAATGGAATAGCATATCTAATGCAAATAGTAAAAGGTTACACGTACTGACCACGTCTGCAAAGTCGAGCCATGCTACCTCAATGATTATTCCTGCATTCACAACTACCGATTTCCTGCGAACGTCACATGTTGAGTGTCAGTCTTCCCAGTAATTATATGTTTAGCTTCTTGAATTGTGTGGTTAGGAACCAATGCCGCTACAGGCCCTTAATCATTGACACAGGTCACCTATGTTGGTGATATACATGACCTGTTTGATGGTACCGGCCTTTTCCATCCATTTTTTCTATCCATTTTGCATATGTTAACTCCCATTAAGGACATAAATAGCTATTATGAACTATTTATAATATAAAATGTAAAATTTCTCATTACTGGTGAATCTTTCTCCACTACCTGTCAGGTGTTCTGTCTTGAATTAGAAACTAATGAACAGAGTTCTTATGAATGTAACTACAAGTCATCCTTCTCTAAGTGATTTTATATAGTTAAATAAATGTTACTTACCCATCCAGCATCTTTTCCCTTCCTCCCTCCATTGTACATTTTTATGTACCTTAGTTTTACCAATCTCAACAACTGTTCTGGTAGCAACAAAGCATAATGGTAGTTGTAATCGTATTGTCTTGAGAAATTGACCAATCCAACTGCATTTGTACTTTGCGTTCCTACTATCCAATCAATTACTAACAGCATTAATTGTCTCAATGTTAAATTAGAACGCGACAGTAAATGATGCATTCCCGACTGAGTAATTACTCCAACAATTACAACATAATATCATTCTATATTGTAATTACCTACATTTATTCACAACCATGTCATAATCGCATTCACAGATGAACACTTTCCTCAACAATCCAACTTTTTGTAAATAATTGTCTTCAATAAAACTAAGCATGACATATTCATAGTCAACATTTGGTTTGATTTATGCTGCATTTTACAGCATTATACTTAAACTTAATCATCAGAATACCACTACACATAAACAAGAATCAAGAACATGCTGAATGCGGGGCTTAGTTAAGATAAGTAGCCTATAACTAGTTTGCTGAAACAATTTTTTGTAGTTACTGTTACAATTTATAAACAATTATCTTTATAATTCAAATTTCAACAAGTAAACCTTTGAATAACTACACCACTTGACAATTACTCTTTCGTAATAGCAAGATTTTTGTTAATATTTATCTCATACATAAGTTAAATACCTAGTTCCATCAGTAAAATCAATCCAGAAATGCCAGAAATAAAGAAATACCAAATTTATGCGAGTAATAATCTTTATTTTTGTTTGAAAAATATCAACACGACGTTTTTGAACATCCGGGAAAAAAAAAAGAGAAAACTTCCCCAATCAAACACCACAATTTGTAATGATGTCGCTTTTAGTCTCCTTTCACTGTCCTTTTAACACAATAAAAAATAAATAATTGAATCCAATGAAAATACAAACAAGAAAACATAGGAGAGGAGGGGGAGATAGCGATGAGAATTACAAAAGGATAATATACTATTATTATGTATGAATACACATACATGCAAGCATTTGAAACAAACAAATACACTTCTAATCGACCGGTCAATCTTACGTAATAAGAAAAAAACTGTTGACCACAACAACATCAACGACAACAATTAAACACATCTATTAATCACAGACTTCATATACACACAAATGGAAACATTTAGCAAATTTTGTTTGTTATTCAAAACCTCAGATTAAACTAATTGAAGCATTGGACAAATATAAACAGAAAAATGTACTGTACACATATTATTATTTTTTTTCTTTTTAACAATAAAAACGGTATTAAAATGATGTTGGGTTAAATTTACTAATGATGAATAGGAATAAATCTGTGTACACAATTATCAATGTTAGTCACCAATACACTTAAAATCCCAATTGATTATTATTATTATTCTTTCTGAAAAAAGAAAGTAGTTAAGGGGTGGAGGTGGGGGGTACTTCAGCACAGAAACAAAACTTTATGATGGAATTTAATGTTCATCAAATTATCACATACTGATGAATTTTATCAAAACATACACATGCACACACATGTGAAATACATGCATAACATAAGAATAGACAATTAGCATTTAATTCAAGTCAAGAAAGAATAATCTTAGAAATCGGGAAATTTTATTTCTATTTAGAAAATCAAATGGATAATTAGTTGTTGTTGTAATAGTAGAATAGCTGTGAAAGATAAACTGTTAATCAATCATATACAAATCCCATTTTTACAAGTTCATCTTAGTTGAGTTTTCATTTTTCAACGGAAAAACAAAACATGCAGAAGATATACATACATCCAACTTTTTTAAATACAAAAAAATAAAGAGAAGAGAAAGAGTAACAACCACCGGGGGTAAAGTGTTGAATGTTCTCATTGAAATATGGAAGATTTTGTTATTGATTCTTTAAAATGAAAATGAAATAATCATTCCCTCGTTTTCCTTTGTGTGTGTGTGAATCATGGAAGACAATTATTGAAGGAAGAAAACAGTAAAAAAAAAAAACAAAGCATGTAAACACATTTTAATCAAGACAGAAATCAGATTCAACGATGGTGAAGATGACGATTATTCTTTCTCTTTTAATAAAACAAACAAACATGATGATGATGATGATTTGACAGAACAATCAACAACAATAAGAAAGGGAAAATCAATGGAATTTATATCGAGTTGTTTCTTTTTTTTATTTTTCAGAAAAAACAAACAAAAACTTATTTTGTACAAGTTGAAATAGAAATATTTTAATCCATACACACACCCCTGTCGGGGGGGGGACGAGGAAGTAGTATCATTGATACTATTATTTGCAGTAGTCAGTAAGCGAACTGCCTTGTTATATCAAACATGTATCCAAATGAATTCCCTGTTCATACTAGAAATAAGGCAAATATACACATAGATTTTTCCATATATATATGCATGATAAATGTTTGTATTTTATGTAATACACAGTCCTATAAAGGTGTTATTCACTACTGCTACTGCTACTACCATTATTATTATGGCTGTTGTCGTTAGTGTTAACTTCTACATAGAAAATGATATCTTATAAACATACAGAATAAAATGGTACAGGAGGATAAGATATTGTGTTTTCAATCAATCATTGTATAAAAACCACCCCCACTATCCCCATTCGTAGCTCCAGATTCTGTCGATATTGTTGTTATTGCCTCTGTTGCACCTACTGGACTACTACGAGAAAAATTTAGTTCATTTGATGATATCGGTGATGTAATGGTTGTTGATATTGTTGTTGATGGTGATGTAGTTGACAATATCCCTGAATTTATTGAAGTAAGTATTCGTGGCGGTGGAGGAGGAAACGAAGGATAAGTAATTTGTTGTTGTTTCCCTTGTTGATGATTTGCAAGAAAATATGATTGTGCAATTTGTTGTTCATCGTGTTTAGGATTATTATTATCATTATTATTATTTAGTGTAGTTGACGTATTCATAATAGGGAGGAAATAGTTAGCTTTCAATGTACCCATTATATTTGTATCTGTTATATTTGTTATTCTATGAGAATTATTATCATTATTATTATTATTTACAGTACCGGTCCATGAAGAATCTAAATTATTTAAACATTGTTCGGTAAATGGTGATATCTGTTGAGGTGTCGAATTGATAATAATTGATTGTCGATTATTCGATAATGCTGATGATAATTGCCATGTTGTATTATCATCAGATTGTTTAATAAACTAAAAAATATATATAAAAATAGAAAGAAACAACATGGCTAATTATTTAGAATGAAATTTGACATTTAAAATAAGTTTCATTTAAAGAATGGATAGATTGTGAGTATAGGAAGTGGAATTCAAGATGCTCATTGCACCCTACTCTATTTGGGACTTTCTAGATTGTTATTCCTGTATTTCATTATTGATGTTCACATTGAGACCTGAAGACGTCATCTTTTACTTCAAACGCTAACGTGTCATCCCATACTAAGGTACTGAGTTCAATCAAATAGCCAACCATTAACTAGTTCGACAGGTATGATATTGATATCAGTAGTAGTCAAGACTGATCAAAATTCAGCCTTGAATATCAACAACGAGATAATCTAAACCCTTATTAACAATGAAATAAGTTTCAATTAAGTTGAAAATATCAGTGGTTAAAAAACTGGACTATGAAGCCTACAAGACTAATGTGTTCGCTCCCTATTGGATTTAAATGATTTTTTTCTTGATGATAAGTGGAAATGTAGATATTACTGCAAAAACAGATGATGCCGTACAAGAACTGTTAAGTGTAGATAATTGAATGTCAACTTAATGATATGCAGGTTAGGTAGTCCCCACCAAAACTAAATATCATGAGTTCGACTCTTGACCGAGAGATGAATGTATAATACTGAAGAGTCATATATTGGGTTGGAACATCACTGCTTTTCAGTGATTGTATAAGGAAAGTCAATCCATGATGGGGAACCTTAAACCCAATAATAATAACTGTTAAATAGTTGGAGAAAATCAATAGAAAACTTTATGATCTAGTGTTTTGCTAGATTACACTGATCAATAAACTGTATGTATGCATGATCTTGAAGAAATTCATAGTCCCACAGACATGAAAACTCCCGTAAGTCAATGTTTTAGTAGTAAATGTTACCAAGACAATAAAAACTAGATCCAGAGACTCAAACAGAGGTCAAATTATATAAATAGTATCTGAGGGAGAATCGCCCGTTGTAATTCCGTAGCCTTGTGAAAACCATAGTCTTATATGAAAACATGGTTTCTAAATTCAAATACATTGACATTAAAAGTAAACCTGGTTAATAATCTCATCTGCAAGAGTTTAAAACACGCATTTTATATCTACATATAATGTAGACCCAATTCTTTGAAATATGTTCAAAATAGTTTGTTCCACTTTTGGATTGATACATATTCACGCCAAGTTCTACGTTATTGATGACTGATTCATTTTTATGAAGTTTTGTTCTCTGAACAGGATGATTTGATCGTGAAGCTTTCATCATTCTTCTGAACGACATCATCAGCACAAACTTCAGGTAGAAGTATTGATGATGTTATTCAGAAGAACGATGAAAGCTCTACGATCAAACTATCCAGCACATAGAACAAAACTCCATCAAAATCATCCACTTCAGCTACAAATCTTATCCACTAACACAAATGAATAACTATCATATTCTTGAATTGGTCTACGAATTGTGGAAATTCGTTTAATCTAAGGATGAATATTAGATGTTAGATTTACCTTTCAGGATTCATAAACCATTGAAAAATAGAAGTTCATCATAGTTAAAGTTTCGTCTTATAACTGGATTTCATGTATATTGATACATGTCAACAATGTCGAGTAAAATCATGCATTTTTTTCTTCTAGGAATTAAATTGATTTTCTTAGAGTCCATTATACTGATATTAAGTTTTGTTGAGGTGTGTATGTATATCACGTTGTATGTTTTGTATTGATTGAGGTTAGTTTTGATTTCAAAAACTGAAAACATTTGGGAAACTAATAAAAACCAGGGAGCACTAGATAGATACTCCGTCCGTAATATTGAGATGGTCACAGATTGACCATCATAGTTGAATAATAATTGAATGAATGATCGTGAACACTTGTTAATCGTAATACAATGATCTACTTACCTTATATTCAGTTGGCTGTTGTTGACAGTACATTTGTTGTTGTTGTTGCTGTTGTAGAGAGGTCTGTAAATTTGATTGAATTGGTAGATTTATCCCAGTTGTTTGATAGATATTATATAAATCTCCACTTGTTACAGATATAAATCCATTATTGCTAGGAATATTAGTATGATTCAATTGTGGAAATTGATTAGTAGCAAACGATATTCGATTCATCATAGTGCCGCCTCCACCTCCCCCAACATTTCCAATTTGTGAACGTGGAAGAAATAAAAATCCTGTTGCATTTGGTTGATTTACAGTTGATGAATAAAATTGCTCATTATTATTAACATTATTGTTATTATTATTATTATTATTATTTATAGTGTCGTTAGGTGAAATATGCATTTTTGTATGCAATTCATAAGTTGGCCCTCCTGTATTCGATAATGTACTAAGAGGTCCATTGTAATTGGAATTTAAATTAGGCATCAAACCAGATGTTGGATAATGTTGATTATTACCAAGTCTTGAAAAAATTGGGCGGTAATAATTCGATGGAATATTATTATTACCATTATTGTTGTTCTCTCCACAGTGAATAGATGCTCCATCTGATAGATCCGATGGTGGTGGTGTAAAGCCGAATATAGATGCACTGGCATATTCAGGACCTGGAAAATGGATAGAGAAAATATTTATAAATATATGCATCGGTTCGACTTTCTAATTTTGCAGTTCTATTAAGAAGCCGTGATCAATGGAGTTCAACCATATCGAGTGTGAGGCATTTATCCGCCTCAATCAATGAAGGATGGTCGCACATTACTGTGAAGCGGTTAGCGTTACAGTTAAAAGTAATATTAAATCCGTTGAATAGGTGGCGACTCAACAATCTAGTGAATAATCTTAGGACATTTGCCCCCAAATACCCTAGTACGGACAAGGGGGGGAGTCCTCTCTACCTCTCGAAATGTTCTCACATAGTCACTCGTATACAGCCACTATCAGGGAAGTCCTACTCACTGCCTTCTCGAGGTGGGGGTGTTCTCTATAAAATTGAGAAGACGAAAAGCGAATGTCTGACGCTTTAATCGACTTGGTGGACGCAGAGGATCCACCTAGGAGAGTTGAAAATCTCTGATTCCAAACCAGTCGTGCACATGGGCTTCAGGATCCTAATGAAACGAATGGTGTCTGAACCTTTTGTTGGTCACCGGCTACCATGTGACTCCATCACCTAACGTTGTTCCACTGCCTAGTGGATTAGACCTCTAAATCAAAGGCTTGAGGAGCGGCCCCATAAGGAAATGAATTGTCTCGGTCTGGGCGCCCGGGCAGTAATTCCAGTCCTCACACAAATCGAATGACAAAGTGTGGTGCATATATATTTGATGCCTTCTTGTACCAATGTTTACGTGTTTAAATAAATAAATAACCTAAAACGTTTGGATCAATGACTAATGGTTCGGGTTATCCAGTTCTAATTAAAATAAGACTCTGACCATTCCAAATCCCAATATTAACCACTATCCAAAGTAAAGCAGTTCTGTCGGGAAAATGACAATACCAAAAACCTTTTTTTCAATTTCGATATAAACTCTTCATCAAAAAAATAAACAAGATCATACATCATCATGACATTTCTAACTATGAAGGTTGAACATTTCGAAACTGTTTTAGACTATAACATTGAATCGTGGATGCCACTAGAGTTTACAATTTAGAAATGTATATGGTCATAGACATAAAATATATGACTTTCAGACGTGACCGTGTGAAAAGAATAATCTCTGTATAATTTATTTCAAGTTAACTCGTAGATTCCAAAGAAACTACTCAAGAGAAGTACGTTATTTTATAAAATAAAAAAATGTAAATTCATTAGGTGTTGTTTGCTTGTATCTTCCTACTAACGTTTAGGACTGCAATTGATTGGTCTCTTATTGGCATATGTGCATCCTAAGCAGATTGCCTCGATATTGCCTTAAGTCACAAACTTTACAAGCAAACATGGATAGTGGCTAGCAGTTGAATCTATGATAATTGTTTCGTCCTAGTTGAGACTCGTCAGCTAGATTGCCAAGCGAATTTAAACTTCACTCCTATTGCCCATGCAAGTGGCTATCAGGGCTTGGTAGCTAAGTGGATAATGCGATGGTGTTTTAAGTGAATGGCACTGGGTTCGAGTCCCAGAGTGAACATCAACTCTGAGATGCAGGTACACCCAGCTGATGAGTCTCAAATGTGATGAAACGTGCGTCCTGGATCCCACTGCTAGCCACTATCCATCCTTGTTTATGAAATAATGTATGTAGCACTTCTCGACGCTCTTTTGAAAGTTGCTACTTTTTCTCGCTAAATGTATCTTTTTAAGACACGTGAGAAATTTCATATCAGAATGGAATTTCATGAACATTCTAGTAATTTTATAATTGAGTTCATGAGTTGAATCCCGCAGGCAGGATTGTGGATGTGCACTGCTGAGGAGTTCTATACTAGGATGAAACGGTCGTCCAGTGCTCCCAGATTTTCCATAGTGGTCTAACTTGAATTGACTCATGAATTCAACTATAGAAATTTAATAAATAAATTTCAAATATCCATCGTTGAAATAAGAAAAATTGGTTCCTAAATTAACCTGATTACTATATATTATCACATATTTTTTTTAAATTTAATCTTTACAAGAAAAAAAGCTTATCAATATATATATTGCCAAAACGTGTTTCTAGGGGAGAAAACAAAAAGGGATGAAACTATTCTTCAATAATACTGTTAAGATAAAAATGTGAAATCATGTTTCCGGTTCAAGATTACTAGTATTTTTAATTCGGTAGGATAAACATTCAGTTTAATAATAACAATACCAATAATAATAATAACACTAATAACAATAATAATAATAACAATAATACTGGTAATAATAATAATACCAGTAATAATAATGCCGATGATAATAATAATACTAATACTAATAATAATAATTGATTGAATTTAGACATTAACACCGTTGGATTACAGTCGGCTCAGTGGTCTAGTGGCTAAGTGCTCGCGCGCGGAACCAGTAGGTCCTGGATTCGAATCCCGCGAGGTGCGGGGTCGTGGATGAGCACAGCTGAGGAGTCACATACCAGGTCGAAACGGCCGTCCAATGCTTCCAGGTTTTCCATGGTGGTCTAGCTTCAAGTGACTCATGATTTCAACTTGTGAAATAATAATAATCGTTTTCTTTACAGAGTGTTATTTTGTTCAAGCATAACATTAGTTTTATCTCAATGTGACGATTATACAGGATATTTTTGCATTAATTTAGTGTTATCATTGTTCAGTATAATATGGAGTGGGCATTTTTTTTGGTGGTAATTGTGCATATTCACCACCACCACCACAACAACAACAACATCACCCCACCCCAAATATGTAATAAGTGTTAAGTTACCAACAAATATGAATAAAACGAATAGATAAATGAGTGTATCGGCTAAACGTGGAATAAATTTTCATCATACGGATCAGTTTTTGTTTTCTTATTTCTATCATGTAAATCAATTTTTTTCAAGTATGGAATGAATATAGATGATTTGTAAACTGATAAGTAGATTACATTACAAAATGACTTTAATTAAACAAGCACTAAAGACTAAGAATCACTAGATAGATGTTTCACCTTAACATGAGACTCATTAACGAAGTCGGAAATGTGTACGATTGTATCAGTGATAAAATCATCAGAAGATATGACGGTTCTGTATTTGATCACTTGGGATGGGATGAAGTATCTGTTTAGTATTCTGGTTGTCTAGTTCAAGTTAATCAGTGACATGAAAAATTACATTCGAACGGAACAATCTCTAAAACGATCTCTCCTCATAATGTTAAAAATGATTTTATCAAATAAATATTATGGTAACTCATTTATTGAGTACAAGTTTATGTAACCAACTTTGAGATGGTAGAGAAGATTTGTAGCTCAGGTGGATGATTTTGATGGATTTGGTCGTGGAGCTTTCATCATTATTCTGAACGACATCCATCAGCACAAACTTTAAGTCGAAGTGAAGTGTTCGAATCAATAGGAGATACAACCAAAACAAAGAACTAAATAATGACAGGTTAAAAGTTGACAATCATCAATGAAGATCGAAATGTACAAGAAAAGCTGTGAACCATATGTGAAGAAATTCGAACACTTCACTTCTACTTGAAGTTTGTGCTGATAATCTTATTCAGAATAACGACGAAAGCTCCACGACCAAACCAACCAGCTCAGAGAACAAAACTATCTTCGAGTTATACTTCAGATACATGAAGACTATTGACAATACCCAACTGACCAAAGAGAAATATACAAAGCTGGATTCAAACTGGTAATACAGTGGTTGAAACTCAATTACCTTAATTATTCAACTGCCCCTATACACAAATCAAATAAATAATACGCCTAATATCTATTTAATTCATTTACCCTAGTTTCTAGGTAAAAAAAAAACAACTGTAGACATAGAATTTCCAACTCTATTCCCTTCACGAAACACAACTATTCTTTAAATTAACGAACAGTTTTATGTAAGATTCTTATCATGTATCGTTTTACAACTTTATTTTTCTAGAAAATATTGTCATTCTAAGAAATGAAATATGCTACCTGTGTAACCCATTTTTCAAGTGTCCATATATACATAGATATTTGTATCTTATCTTTTGAACTGTCCACAACCTTACATACTTTTTATACTATACAAATGTTGTATATAAATAGATTATAATCATCAATTTGAATAGAAGACAATATCTATAAATCATTGTTTTCTCGTATATATATTATTTATAGTCGTTAAATTGGATGGAGGATGCTGGTGGGAGGCCTATACTCATCCACGAGGGGTAACAGGCGTAAGTAAGTAAATAAGTAAATAGATTATGACAACAACTTTTCCGAAAAACATCTTTAATCACAATGAACACTCATTACAGTTTTATTCATTGTCTTCGAATAACTACTCTCCACAATTCAATAAATAGGATATTTTCTCTTTTTTTTGTGATAAAAAACAAACAAACAGACAAGAAATGAAACAAAAGTTGATTGTCGACAACTGTCTTATACGATTTATTTACCTACTTATTACTTGTGTACACTTATTATTTATAGAAAAGAAAGTAAGTTTACAGTTCATTTGCTTTGTTTACTTATCTCTTGGTTTTTTTCACCCTTTTCCTAAAGAGAGACGACTATGATTTTTTAAAATTTACCTTCTCAACTATAGTCATTCCCTCCCCTCCTCCCCCACTTTTTTTCTCCCTTTACTTTGGCGAAATAGTTTTTTTTTCATAGAAAATAATGGTTGTATTGTTTGTTTTAAGAAAAAAAATGCAACGATCAGTAGTACAAGAAAAACTACGAGAGAGAAGGGAGCAAGGGGGAACAGGTGGTAAAATTAATAAGATTACAACACCTGAAATAACATAACATAAAAACCAGGACAACAGAGGATATTCTTCATAAAAATAAAGAACAGCAATCAAAGACATTTGTCGGTGATCAATATCACTTGTTAGATTTAAGTAGTATAAGTGTCACTAAGTAGTAATAGTAGTAGCTTATCTGTAAAAACAGTAGTTACTAATACAATCCTGTTTAGCTGAATTTAATAGTCTGATATCATTAAAA